AAAATGAATAAAAATGTTTGTTTTTCTTGATTTACAATTTTAGTCGTTCAAACTCAACTACTGGTTCACGTTCTCCGTCATCCGATTCTTCATCTTGGTCATCTACTAACTCATCAGACTCATCATCTAGCTAGCTTGTCGGGGGAGTTTCCAAACTTCCACAGGGACCTGCAAATGTTTCGACAGAAGCAGAAGTCGACCGTGAGCTGCCGGTAGCCAAACGTCTGGTTTTTAGGCTAGCAACCTGTCAATTGGACATTAAACATTAATTGCTAACGACAAGACATTAAACAAGTGTGTGAACGCACAAAAATCGGTGTTTTTTGATGGATGGAATGTTCGATTATGCTTTCACTATTCAAAACAACAATTCATCATTAAACAATTACAAAAATACAATATTTAAATAGCAGCACTATGTGAAACTGCAATTTATCATTCAGGAACGAAATCAATTGGAAACTATACATTATTATATTCTGATCTTCCAAGTGTCAATAAAACACGATCAACTCATGGAGTGGCGATTTTACTGGATAAAAGGGCTACAAACCACTGAAAACAGTCGGGTTCAGAATGGCAAGCTATTAATGAGAGAATTATCAAAGTTAGATTGAAATGTACACCAATTAATATCACCATTATCGCCATGTATGCACCAGTTACTCCATCAAACAAAACAATGGCTGATAACAGTGAAAAATTTTATACGAATTTATAAGAGACAATGGATGGAATATCGAAAAAAGATATGATTGTATTAATGGGTGATTTTAACGCACGTGTTAGTAAACCTCAGCATCCTACGGCATTTCGCACTGTTGGACCATTTGTGGTGGATGTGCAAAATGAAAACGATGGAAGGTTAGTTGATTTCTGCACCACAAACAATCTGGTCATATCGAACTCATTCTTCCAACACAAGTCAGTGCATCAAACGTCATGGATGCATCCTAGAACGAAAGAGTGGCATTTGATAGATTATATATTGATAAACAGAAAATTTAGATCAAGTGTAGAAGATGTACGGTTTTATAGAAAAGCAAGTGGAATTATCGGTACAGATCATCATCTCATGAGATCTAAAATTTAATTACATTTGAAATTAAGAAAGGACAATGAACAGCGCAATCGGTTTCGACTGGATCGTACAAAATTTTAATGTTAATGAAAAATATNATTCTAAGAGTTCACATCCTACGTCTAGCCGTCGTCCACGTTCACAAGTAACCAAAAAATATTTAATAAGAATAACAATGTCAGTGGTGCACATTTGTTTGCGTAAGCATTGTCTTATAGAAAATGAATAAAAATGTTTGTTTTTCTTGATTTACAATTTTAGTCGTTCAAACTCAACTACTGGTTCACGTTCTCCGTCATCCGATTCTTTATCTTGGTCATCTACTAACTCATCACACTCATCATCTAACTAGCTTGCCGGGGGAGTTTCCAAACTTCCACCGGGACCTGCAAATGTTTCGACAGAAGCAGAAGTCGACCGTGAGCTGCCGGTAGCCAAGCGTCTGGTTTTTAGGCTAGCAACCTGTCAATTGGACATTAAACAAATGTGTGAACGCACAAAAATCGGTGTTTTTTGGTGGATGGAATGTTCGATTATGCTTTCACTATTCAAAACAACAATTCATCATTAAACAATTACAAAAATACAATATTCAAATAGCAGCATTATGTGAAACAGCAATTTATCATTCAGAAACGAAATCAATTGGAAACTATACATTATTATATTCTGCTCTTCCAAGTGTCAATAAAACACGATCAACTCATGGAGTGGCGAATTTACTGGATAAAAGGGCTACAAACCACTGAAAACAGTCGGGTTCAGAATGGCAAGCTATTAATGAGAGAATTATCAAAGTTAGATTGAAATGTACCCCAATTAATATCACCATTATCGCCATGTATGTACCAGTTAATCCACCAAACAAAACAATGGCTGATAACAGTGAAAAATTTTATACGGATTTACAAGAGACAATGGATGGAATATCGAAAAAAGATATGATTATATTAATGGGTGATTTTAACGCACGTGTTAGTCAACCTCAGCATCCTACGGCATTTCGCACTGTTGGACCATTTGTGGTGGATGTGCAAAATGAAAACGGTGGAAGGTTAGTTGATTTCTGCACCACAAACAATCTGGTCATATCGAACTCATTCTTCCAATACAAGTCAGTGCATCAAACGTCATGGATGCACCCTAGAACGAAAAAGTGGCATTTGATAGATTATATATTGATAAACAGGAAATTTAGATCAAGTGTAGAAGATGTACGGTTTTATAGAGAAGCAAGTGGAATTATCGGTACAGATCATCATCTCATGAGATCTAAAATTAAATTACATTTGAAATTAAGAAAGGACAATGAACAGCGCAATCGGTTTCGACTGGATCGTACAAAATTTTAATGTTAATGAAAAATATTCAACATTAGTACAATCTCTCAAAGAAATCAACAACATATCTCAAGTAGCAACAACATCGTGGATCTATAATGGATTGGTAAAAACACTGATTGATAAAAGACAGATTGAATATTGGGGTGAACTCGGTATGGAGATTGAAAATACTATTAAGCAACATGATCCAGCAACAGCATATGCAATAATTAGACGACTAAGAGGTAGAAGACAAAATGTGGAAAATATGCCAATACACAACAAAAATGAAATTTTACTTGTCAACTCTAAAGCCAGACTGGAAAGTTGGAAAGAATTCTATTCGGAATTACTAAATGTGAACGCTATTATTGTCCCAATATTATTAGATCAGATCAAATCAACATCTTTGTCAACAATGGAACGACATCGCCAAGACAAAGAGCCAACGTTAGATGTGATGCAGCAAGCTTTGAAACAAATGAAAAATAGAANAATGAGATGGTAATAAGAATTATTAAAATGAATGATATATGTCATATTGTGAGTTAAATTATTTCTCCTTGAAGTAATCGACATTTGTGACAATCGTTTGCTAAATGAATAAACAAATATTTTATCTAAAGTAATCATAACTCAAAATTAGATATTTTTTAAACTCTTCTTTTCATGATCTTATCGCACCATATGACTAAAAATATTTTAAAATGATTTATTGTGCTGTATAAAATAAATATATAAGTACATCGATGGGCTTAATAAAAGAACCAGTATTCAGAAAGTTTTAGATGTGAATCACTCAAAATGGTCTATAATACCGACGAAGACAATGAACCAACGAGCATATGGTCATTGTTCAATTAATTTAATAAAGTGACTGCGTAGCCAATAAGATTCATATGATCGAAATATTTTTTTTTGCAAAATGATCAACTTTTTCATATAAAGAACTGGTGATAAAGGAATTTAATATGTAAATTTGAAGATTTTTTCTTCAATAATATGTTTATTTACTACACTGGCGAACCTATCTAATTTTACGACACATTCAATTTTGCGAGACAGCTGCCACGACACATGAAAGTGCAACACAATTTTCTTAGCGATCTTACAACACGAAACTGTACAACACAAAAATGCCACACAATTTAACTTAGAGTGTTAAAAATTATGGACAATTACCAATTGTTGCTGATTACACAACTTTCGCATTAAATAAGGAGTCCTACGTTTGAAGAGAACATTGTGGATTTATTTCTAGATTATTAAATGCAAATGCTGTTGCTACACAGAATTGTACAAAAGTAGATTATGATGTTACCACATTGGGAGCACGTCAACAAACACAAAAACGTACATTAGCCACTGTAGTCGCAACAACAATAACTTCAACTGCTTCTTCCTTATCTTCTAATCGTCATAGTACAGGCAGTGAAGATTCAGTAAATACAGGTTCACAACACAGTTCATTAACAGCAGCAACAACACGTTTAACTCCTATGCCCGATCGTCTTCGAGTTAGAACAAATGTTAATGCTGCTGCTTCTTCATCCTCATCATTATCCCAGCCTGTCGTTGCTTCAAGACTAATTAAATCAAAAACCAGAGTTTCTGTTGCTAAAAAACGTGGTCGTATATCAGAAAATGAAGAGAATGATGAAAATAACGATGATACATCTGTCTTGCATGAGTAAGTATTTAGTCTTTGTTTTCAACTTATAAAGAATGCCTAACGCTGCGGATGAATTTTAAAAAAAGACTACAAGGATTTCGTAACGACCTTCAAGCTTTTTATTTTTCTGTTGTTACTACAGCTTTAATAATACGCAAACCGTTAAGACTTTTATGCACTAATTTTTAATTTTAATTTTTCTTTCTTCTATTTAAAGTGCTGCTGCATCAAGAAATGGTCAATCGATGAAAGCTGTTTCTTGTATGTTGTTCTATCTCTTCCTCTAAGTTCTGTTTTCTTTGTGTTGAAAAAGACGTATTGTGTTCATCAGGACGTCATTTGTGTACGATCTTAGGGTTCATTTATATAGTACATTCGTGATTATACGAGCAGCGTTTTTTCTTTGTTTGTCTCTACTCTCAAGACTGTATTAGGTAGTCGTAATGGAGCCAAAGAGCAGTCAGTCAAAAAAAAGCAAACACAGAGTATGTTTGCTTGTTTTTTTTTAATTTCGCACAGTAGAAGTTAAATGAAAGGATGTGTTTATCGTTTTTATATTTATACTCACTTTAATTTTAGACATTGATATGATGATGATGACGCGTAGTGGAACTCTAGCTGCAGCAGCAACAGATGTAGTTACATTATCAAATTCTAAGAGTTCACATCCTACGTCTAGCCGTCGTCCACGTTCACAAGTAACCAAAAAAATATTTAATAAGAATAACAATGTTAGTGGTGCACATTTGTTTGCGTAAGCATTGTCTTATAGAAAATGAATAAAAATGTTTGTTTTTCTTGATTTACAATTTTAGTCGTTCAAACTCAACTACTGGTTCACGTTCTCCGTCATCCGATTCTTCATCTTGGTCATCTACTAACTCATCACACTCATCATCTAGCTAGCTTGCCGGGGAAGTTTCCGAACTTCCACAGGGACCTGCAAATGTTTCGACAGAAGCAGAAGTCGACCGTGGGCTGCCGGTAGCCAAGCGTCTGGTTTTTAGACTAGCAAATTGTCAATTGGACATTAAACATTAATTGCTAACGAAAAGACACTAAACAAGTGTGTGAACGCACAAAAATCGGTGTTTTTTGGTGGATGGAATGTTCGATTATGTTTTCGCATTCAAAACAACAATTGATCATTAAACTATTACAAAAATACAATATTCAATTAGCAGCATTATGTGAAACAGCAATTTATCATTCAGGAACGAAATCAATTGGAAACTATACATTATTATATTCTGGTCTTCCAAGTGTCAATAAAACATGATCAACTCATGAAGTGGCGATTTTACTGGATAAAAGGGCTACAAACCACTGAAAACAGTCGGGTTCAGAATGGCAAGCTATTAATGAGAGAATTATCAAAGTTAGATTGAAATGTACACCAATTAATATCACCATTATCGCCATGTATGCACCAGTTAATCCATCAAACAAAACAATGGCCGATAACAGTGAAAACTTTTATATGGATTTACAAAAGACAATGGATGGAATATCGAAAAAAGATATGATTGTATTAATGGGTGATTTTAACGCACGTGTTAGTCAACCTTAGCATCCTACGGCATTCCGTACTGTTGGGCCATTTGTGGTGGATGTGCAAAATGAAAACGGTGGAAGGTTGGTTGATTTCTGCACCACAAACAATCTGGTCATATCGAACTCATTCTTCCAATACAAGTCAGTGCATCAAACGTCATGGATGTACCCTAGAACGAAAAAGTGACATTTGATAGATTATATATTGATAAACAGGAAATGTAGATCAAGTGTAGAAGATGTACGGTTTTATAGAAAAGCAAGTGGAATTATCGGTACAGATCATCATCTCATGAGATCTAAAATTAAATTACATTTGAAATAAAGAAAGGGCAATGAACAGCGCAATCGGTTTCGACTGGATCGTACAAAATTTTAATGTTAATGAAAAATATGCAACATTGGTACAATCTCTCAAAGAAATCAACAACATATCTCAAGTGGCAACAACATCATGGATCTATAATGGAATAGAAATACCGAAAGAAATACGTCACAGAAAGAAAAACGGTAAAAACACTGATTGATAAAAGACAAATTGAATATTGGGATGAACTCGGTATGCAAATTGAAAATACTATTAAAACAACATGATCCAGCAACAGCATATGCAATAATTAGACGACTAAGAGGTAGAAGACAAAATGTGGAAAATATGACAATACACAATAAAAATGGAATTTTACTTGTCAACTCTAAAGCCAGGCTGGAAAGTTGGAAAGAATTCTATTCAGGATTACTAAATGTGAACTCTATTATTGTCCCAGTATTATTAGATCAGATCAAACCAATATCTTTGTCAACAATGGAACGACGTCGGCAAGACAAAGAGCCAATGTTAGGTGTGATGCAGCAAGTTTTGAAACAAATGAAAAATAGAAAAGCACCAGGCAAAGATGATATAACAGTTGAATTATTGACAGCAGGTGAAATGCCGGTGATTAGATGGCTGCACGACATATTTGTCGATATTTGGAAGAATGAACAAATGGTGGAGGACTGGAGTTCGGCAATTCTAATACGGTTATATAAAAACAAAGGCGATAAGAAGATCTGCGATAATTATCGCGGCGTTTCGCTGCT